GACCATTCTAATTTTGTAAGACCGTAAAACCAAATCCAAAAATTCTTTTTTTAAATATTATTTTTGGAACATGAATTAACTAAAAAAATAAAACAAAAATAAAAAAAATAAAAAATAAAAAAAATCCCGTTTTTTTTTTGAAAAATACGTGAAATATTCTAAATAGAATATTACACTGACATATTCTAAAAAATAATTTTAAAATACAAAATAAATGAAAAAATCTAAAAAATCTTTTTTTTAAATATTATTTTCGGAGCTTGAATTAACTAAAAAAAATAAAAAAAATCCTTTTTTTTTAAAAAAATACGTGAAATATTCTAAATAGAATATTACACTGTATATATTCCAAAAATAATTTTAAAATGCAAAGTAAATGAAAAAATCAAAAAATTCTTTTTTTAAATATTATTTTCGGAACATGAATTAAGTAAAACAAATTAAAAATAAAATAAATAAAAAAATAAAAAAATACGTCTTACGGTCTCACAAAATTAGATCGTCTCACATGAATCTAACTATATATATATATATATATATATATATATATATATATATATATATATATATGTTCGTACTCATATACATACATTATAAATTCTAGAAATAGTTAATAGAATCATAAACGTAATGGAAATAATTTTTTTTAAACACAAAGAGGATCTAGTTAGACTATAATAACCAATATTTTAAAAAGTTCGTCATGGCTCCAAGACTTGTACTTGTCGTCAAATGTTAACAAAATGTCGTCTTAAGTAAAAATAAATAATAGTAGAATATATATATATATATATATATATATATATACACACACACAAAATTGTCGCCTTAATTCACACTTTACAAACAACGTATCTTGCCACAGCTCAAAAAAGTTTGAAGTTTGATATTATCAACAAGTCACGCCTTACGTTATTTCAAATATCTAAGTTCTTAATTTTATCATTTTTAAGTGTTTACCCTAATATGGTCTTTTTTTTTTATTTGCATAAAAGCTTGAAACTTACGTAAGTTGTTTTTTCAAATATGATATATCAATGATGTAATTCAAATCGGTTACATTCTATTTAAGTGTTTGGTTACGTGGCACCGACTCAAATTTTTGGCTAACACGACACGTTAGCCAAACTCGCAACCTTCCGTATACAATACCACACAAGCAAATATAGAGAGTTGCTAGGACTTCAACTTCTCAACCTAGCTTCATTTTTGCTTGTTTTTGGTTCGTTGATCCAACCTAACACGGAGGAGAAGGGCGTGCCTCCGAGTGTGGGAAGAAGGGCGGGAAGGGGAGGGGGAGGGGGCGGGGGTGGAAGGGGATGTTGGTTTGTGATTATGTTTGCTTGTTGCCTTAATGATTGCAACCCTCATTTAAATATTTATATTGTTAAGATAAGGTTTTTTATGCTTATTCAATCCAACTAATAGAATAAGTAAACTATGTAATCAAACAATTGAATTGCTTATTTGGCTTATTATAAGCTCATGTATAATGAATAATAATGATGATGATGATGTTTAAAAGCTTCCAACATTTAATACAATATATATGAAAGTGCAACATTTTATAAAAAAAAAAAAAGGATCATTTCAATGGTAGATGCTTTGGTATTGTATATGGAAGGTTGCGAGTTTGGCTAACGTGCCGTGTTAGCCACAAATTTGAGTCGGTGCCACGTAACCAAACACTTAAATAGAATGTAACCGACTTGACTTACATCATTGATATATCATATTTGAAAAAACAACTTATGTAAGTTTCAAGCTTTTATGCAAATAAAAAAAAAGACCATATTAGGGTAAACACTTAAAAATGATAAAATTAAAAACTTAGATATCTGAAATTAAAATAATAATAATAATAATAATAATAATAATAATCTCATTTTGTAACAAATATGAATAAGAAAAAAGTTTAGATGCAAAAATTGTAAGTTAAGCATATGTTGGGGGATATCTTTTGTAGGTTAGTGAAAAGAATAAGGTCTCAATATCAGTCGTGTTGGGAAATATTTTATGGTTGAGCCTGCCGTGGTACACTGGTACGAGGACGAAGTTGTTGGTGTCTCACAATTATCCAACCCCACTCACCCTTCTATCAATTTCTTAAATATATATATATAAATTTTTTTTTGGGGTTTTTACAGGGTTTGTGTGTATTTTCCCAAACATTTTCTGTACATATTATATATATCATTGACACATTCAAGCCTCTGAAAGACAAATCATTCAATCCATGGCTAACGCCAGAACTGACAAAGAAGCTCTCAATAGCATCTCACTTGATATTCCACCTCTTCCGATTCATAAGGTATTTCAAATGCAATCTCTTTCTCTCTTTCATCCCCACACACTAACCATACTTGTGAAATAAGTTGACAAAATTGCTTCTTCTGATCGGGGGATTTTTTCTTTCTGAATTTCTGCAAAATTATCGATAAATTTTGGTGTGTGTCTCACGTAATCACAGACACATGGACTTACTTAGTCAGGCAATGCCTTTAATTAGAGACGTGATGACGATAATTTGTATCGCTGCAAGATTTTATGTTTTGGGAATTGGGTTTTTTCAGATCTTTGAAATGTTTCTTGAAAATTCGTCTACAAAATCAGCATCTTTCTGTTGGTTCTTACTGTTTTTCACACACATAGTGTAAGTCGCCCAGCAAATTATATTTTCTTTTTTTCTGATTTTATTTTAGAAATTTTTGAACAATCGTTCATACACATGTTACGTTTTGATGTAAAATTCTGGTGTCTGAACTCTGAATCTCACTTAAACACACACAAACAATAGGAAGTTTGTTGGCTCTTTAAGAGATTTAACTAAATTTTCTGGGTAAGAACCCAAGATCATTATCAATTTATCATTGTAATTATTGAATTAAGAATGTTGAATCTGGATGTAGAGTGATTTCATCGTGATATCCTTGCTGCTTAATGAGAACAATGGCATATGGTTGACTTTCGAAAGTCAAACGTCAGAGTTTTTTCATACTCCAAGTGTTCATTTTTCTTTAAAAACTCCCCATAGTTTTTAGCTTCTAAAATCGAATTAATATCGATGTCGTAGAACATTGAAGTTTAAAAGTAAATACTCAAACATGAACGCTTCTAATTTCTAAACAATGGCAGGTTGAACAAGCGAGTGAAATAATAGAAGATACTACAACAAATGAAATAACCGAAGTGGGTGAATCCAATCAACATTCAAAATCACAGCACCTCATCTTGGAGATACCAGAAAGAACATATAATAACACCTCTATCGAAGATGATGTCAGCATGAACACACCATTAACACCACAAAGAACTCCAAAACGAGTAAACTTTTCCCCAATGCCTAGCCCTACTTACGTTTATGCCAAACTCAACGAATCATCATCAAGCCCTTCGTCATCTAGAGGTAAATCCATCAAAACCCTCCTTCCTAAAATAAGTTTCAAATTCAAAAACAGAACTTCAGAGATCGAAAAGGCTGCAATTCTAGCCCTTGGTGGCTCACCATCAGAGATACGAGGAAGGGTAAAAATGTCAAGAAATTTATCTTTTACAAAACTATTCACCCCGAGAATGAATAGAACATCGTCTTTACCCGTAACTCCAATCACCCACTCAAATCCGGAGTCTGTACATGGTAGAAACACCATAGAAGTAAGTCGTTCTTGATTTTTGGAGCTCATACATAATACATTATACATTATACATTATGTAATGTTATCATCTGTTTTAACTTGAATTCAATGTTTGACAGAAAGTTTTGATTGATCGGGGTATGCATCGTTCAAATTCTGTTCCTGCTTTGATTAAAGATGAAAGCGTCACACAAATAGAGTCGTTAGGTGGAGTGTTTCGGATAATTCCAACTACAACAAAAGTTTCACAAGGAACTCATCTCACCATAAATGTCGATCCTACAGTTGAACATGGTAAACTTCATAAATCAATAAGGGTTTAGGTTAAAATCCGTGATTCAAGTATTTGTTGTGTCCAATTTGGGTGATTCGTTTTCTTTAGATGGAAATGGTGATGAACGAAAGGGTGAGGATATCAGAGAAGAAGAAGCTGTTTGTAGAATCTGTATGGTTGAACTACAAGAAGGTGTTGATGATACCCTAAAATTGGAGTGCAATTGCAAAGGGGAGTTAGCTTTGGCTCATAAAGAATGTGCAATAAAATGGTTTAGCATCAAAGGGAATAAAACTTGTGAGGTTTGTAAGCAAGAAGTCAAGAATCTTCCTGTAACACTTTTAAGAATTCAAAGATCTCAAAGCCATGGTTTGAATGGAAATGGAGGTATGAATGAGTATGAAGGACCTCGATACAGGTAACATTTTGTTGTTGTTTTTACATTTGATTCATGGGCATATAAGTAATTTCTCAACGTGGGTTTTTTTTTTAGCAGGGTATGGCAGGATGTGCCTGTTCTTGTGATTGTCAGCATGCTTGCTTACTTTTGCTTCTTGGAACAACTTTTGGTATGTCAAGATTCAAGAACCCTAAATCTTGAATCTTTTTGAAAGATAGATTTGTGTTTCTGATATTGGTGTTTTTGTAAAAAGGTTAACAAAATGGGATCTGGTGCAATTGCTATATCTTTGCCTTTTTCTTGCATATTGGGTCTCCTTGCATCAATGACATCAACAACAATGGGTATTTTCATCATTTTCACTTGACAAAAGAAAAACCATATGCCTCTAAAGAAAAAAAAAATGTTACAATCACAAAACTAAGTTTACCCTAAAACCTTTCTACATTATAAACAAAAGAAGAAAGAAAGAATCAAAACATTATACACTACCACAAATCCTTTTTTCATATTAGCAAACAAATCTCAAGAACTAATAATTCTACAATTTATGTTTAGTGAAAAGACGATATGCATGGATCTATGCAACAGTTCAGTTTGCTCTTGTGGTTGCTTTTGCTCATGTTTTCTACTCGAAGGTAAAAAGCACAATTAACCGGATTAAATGTTAATATTAAACTATATAATATAAATTTTAACTATATAATATTTGCAAATATCAACAGCTCAATGTGACTGGTGTTCTATCGGTTTTGCTTGCTACATTTGCTGGATTTGGTGGTGCAATGTGCGGGACTTCAATTATTTACGAGTTCTTGAAATGGCGGGGAAGGTGGCATGACTGGTCAAACCAACCTCCGCCACCAGAAGAGCCGCCACAACAAGGTGGTTCACCGGAGACAACACAGCCAGAGCAGCCTACAGTATCCGGTCAAACTGGCGAGTCTAGTCAACACCCTAGACCATAATAAGCTTTTGATTGTAAAAGCAAAGTTTGTCATAATGTGTATATGGAATAAAAACAATATAAACAGTCTTTCAAGAACTTAAAATTTTGTATCACTGATTGCAGATTTTAACAAAAGAAATAAGAAATCATATCATAATTTGAACTCAATTTCCTATGAAAATCTTTTGCTATTAACTCGGCTTAAGTTAGTACAAAACCCGTAAAAAAAATCACATGTGAAAACCACCAAAACCGCCGCCAGGAAAACCACCTTCGAAATGAAATGTGTAACCACCACCACCGCCGCCGCCACCAAAACCGCCTGCACCAAAAGGGTTAAAACCGCCACCGCCGCCGCCACCCATACCCTCGTCAATATCTTCACCGTTATCATATTTTGCACGCTTGTCATCATCGCCAAGAACCTATATATAATTAAAAATTATTAAATTAAAATTCTAAGCAAAACAAAACATTTACTAAAATTAAGGTTTTAGAGACAACCTCGTATGCAGCCGCTATTTCTCTGAATTTATTCTCTGCTTCTTCTCTATTGTCAACATTTTTATCCGGATGCCATTGTAATGCTAATTTTTTATAAGCTCGTTTTATTTCTGATATTGATGAAGTCTTTGAAACACCCAAAATTTTATACCAATCCTTTCGTTGACTTAATTTCAAAGCCTTTTCAGCCTTCATGAGTGCCTCTCGAATGCTCATATCCTTTAAAAAATAATAATTTATAAACTTATTGCAACTAGAATAAAATAAGTTTTATGTAAAAAAAAATATATATATATATAAAGAAAACAACCTGAGGAGATTTTTCTGCAGCGGATTTTATATCTGCAACAGCTCCTTCCCAATCTTCTGTCAATAATTTAGCTTCACCCCTCTAATAAAGTTTAAAATTAGTCAAAATGTCGAATTACATAACATTTTTAATAAGTGGGAGATTAAATAAATTAAGAACCTGAACCAAAGCTTCAACATGTTCTTCATCAATGGTTAAAACTTCTGTGCAAGCATTTAGGGCGTCTTTTCCTCTACCAAGCCTTACCAAAAGCTTACACAGCCCAAAATGAAGATGCAGATTATGTGCCACGTGGTCAGGGTCTAATGCAAGGGCAGATTTGTAATCTTCCACAGCTACACGCAGCTTACCCTTCTTTTCATTCTCTTCTGCCTGAAAAAAGAAAAAAAAAAAAGTTTAAAGTTATTGTGAGAAAGTCAAACCAGAATATATATAAAAAGTTAAAGTCTTACACTTTTGGTCTTTTTAAGTAAATTCTTTAACCCAAAATATGCTTTTTTTAATTCACTATGCTCTGGATCTAGACGAAGCCCTTTCTGGTAATGCCTGAAACAGTTAAGTAATTAGTCACTTTTGGAAGATTATTTTATCTGTTTTAATTTTAAATAATGAAAAAAAAGAACCTTGTAGCTACATCATGATCAGCTAAATAATAATAGGCGCGACCACGGAGGAGTAATGCCTGTAGATTATCCTCATCCTCTTTAAGTATATATCCTGCTTCCGAAATTACCCCTGCATAGTCCTTAGCAGCTAGTAATAACTTCACCTTTAGTAATTTAGCCTGAAATTTAAAGAAAATATGTGAGTATAAAGAAATGGAGAAGATGAAATGAGGAAGCGAAAAAGCAAAGTTACTTTTTAATTTTTTATACACCTGTGAGCATGCTGGAGAAAAAATAAGAACAACTTTATCAATGAAATCCAAAGCTTTTGTATAATCGCCTGAATCAAAGAGGTTGTTGGCTGTATCTAAAGCGCTTTGTGCTTGATGCATTTGTGAAAGCTCCTTTTCAACAGCAGAATTTCCAGGTTTCATTTCAAGAAACTTCTTGTAGCTCTTCTCGGATTCCTCATATCTACATTAGCCAAAAATCGCCTGAATCATATAAGTTTCTAATCAGGAACTATGTGAAATTATGTTTAGTTTATCTGTCTTTCAGAAAGATATAGTGATCAAGACTACAAGATAAGATTGGTTTTTTTCCACAAGGGATCTCAATGTTACATTTTTGGGACGATGGGTGTAGTTAATAGTAATTTAGTATTGAATAACTAGGTGAGGTGATCTAAAGATTGTTATTATTATCAGACAGAGAAGAAAACAGAGTTCCCATATTTGTGAGAAATATTATACGATGTACTGAAAGCTCAAAAAAGAACCTGCACAACTGACGAAGAACAGAAGCCCTACGCCAGTATGCTTCTGAAAGTGAAGGATCAGCTTCTATGGCAGTGTTAAGATCGTTGATTGCCTCACTATAATGTTTAACTTTGATACTATGTGAAACTCTCTCAAACAATTCAGCTGTATCACCAGATTTTCCATCTGCATAATGCATTATTCAGTTTCAGTCAAAGAACAACAGATAAAAATACATGACAGTCAAAGGAAATTTCAGAAGACTGCCTAATTGAAGAGCTCATACACACATTTCCATTGGGGGATTTCAGAAATTACAAATTAGGTTCTTTTAAACTTCGATATACATTCAATTCAACTCAGTTAAAGAGCTAAAAATGACACAATAAAGCCTAAATCTAAATCCTGGGCTTGGAATTCCAAAATCGAACGGTATCAATTCAAAATTCTGAACTAAACACCCAAATCCAAATCTTCTAATCTTCGTTCATCAAAATACCACATTAGTATACTAAACATACAAAAACCGAAATCACTTTCAAAGGACATGTCAATAACTAAATCATTTTGAAATCTATCTCAAACAGAACGCGGCAGAAACCCTACTGTGATCTGATCGACGGGGGAGCTCATAATTAATCAGAACACTAAATCACACATACGAAAATAGATGAAACAACATGTACCTAGGGCAGAAACGAGGGGTTGGAGCAGAAGGAGTTGGCAAGCGAAGACGAAGTGGAGTATGAATATAGTGTATACGAAGCCTCTCCATGCTACCAGATCCATGGCTGACACCATTTTCAATATCTTCATGGTCGGAGGACTGTATGTAGCTTCGAATCCAATACGTGGGACGATTTCGAGGATTCGAAGAAGGGTTCTGCGTTTTTGGAAGGGTTGATGTGTTACAGGGGTTGCGATGTCATTCCACGTAGACTAACCAATTAGAAACGTACATGTGTAACTTATTTAGGCACCCCGAAAAACACTAATTGCCACGTAGAATAGCTATAAACTTTAACTGAAAATTATAATTTATAAGCATCCAACCTAACATAAATGCAAAGTCAAACTTATCTCAATCTGGTCAAATAAACTTTAGAGATTTACTAATCTTATAAGTACAAAATAACGATTTAATTAATTATATGTCTTTTGCTTTACGTGACAACTACAAAAATTAATAATAATAAATAAATCTTGTTTGGGAACAATTTGGTTGAAAAAACAATTTACTAACTATATATTAAATTAATAACCTATAAAATAAATTTTTGTTAAATCATTTTACAGTACTTCTAATAATGTAAAAATATGGTTAAAGACCTTAAAATTAGCTTTTGAAGGCGTAGTTTTTCATGCATGTTCGTATTGTCACCTTACAAATTTATTGATGCAAGTCGGGTCTAGATGATAAAAGGTACTTTTGACAAATTTATGCCATTAATTAAAATGATATACACAAAGAAGAAAAAAAAAAAAAAAAAAAAGCAAGGGTGCCACTCATAAGTGTTTAAAATGTTTGTAATGATGTCGGTACACAACATTAATATCCAAATATCGATGTACAAATTATATGTTGGAAAGTATTTTACGTCTTGAAATCTTGAAATGTTAAAAACATTTTACGATTTAGTGGGTGATTCCGGAAGCAAATATATTTTTTTTAAAACTCAGCATCAATATTATTCGGCATTATTATTCTTCTAGTCTTATAATAGTTGCATACGTTTATCTAATGATTAGTAAGTTAAAAATGACCTATGAAAACACATGACATCCCTAATGACAGAAAGAAAGAAAATAGTATTAGCCACTATAAAACCAAATTATATATATATATATATATATATATATATATATATATATATATATATATATATATATATATATATATATATATATATATATATATAGAGAGAGAGAGAGAGAGAGAGAAAGAGAAAGAGAAAGAAAGAGAGAGAGAGAGGGGGGGGGAGAGAGATGATCATTTGAGAACTCATAGTTTTCCGAAGAAAAATGGGATGGCCAAGATGCATTGTGGCATTTTTGTAAATAAGTGGAAAAATAAAGGGATGAGGGTACATTAATAAAATGATATTGGGGGTATTTTAGGGATCTAGAAAATGAACCTAAGGAATAAACTGATCGGAAACCTTTTTCATGTCACAATAGCATTTTTGATTTCTGAATATATACCTTCGGCGGACGGATGAGCTCCCACTATGGAGCATAGTTTCTGGGACTAGAATTGAGACTTAGAGTATTGCGCCTCTTAGGCCATATTGGGCCATTTGAAATTATTTATTTTGGGCTAAGGATTTATTGGGCTTGTAATAAGGCCCATTTGAGGAGTTGGGCCCAATTTAGAAAATTGGGCCATTAGTGGGCCGGGAAGATAAGATGGAATTGGGCCTTAGGTATGGTCCAATTTAGACCAAGGGTAAAATGGTCATTTCACCGTAAGAAGTATTATGGATTTTGACTAAGTGTTGTTATGATAATGATAGTCGGGGAGTCATCGGAGCAGCTATTAGATATTCCTTTTCGTGATATTCGACACTTAGCTTTACGAGGTGAGTTACCTTCCAATAGGAGTGGATCGAAGACACTAATGCCGACCCACTAGTATTTGATTATAGTTGAGATAATTGTCTTTATGATAATTGTCTGGTATGCCACTATCTGTTATGTTTTATGTGCTAGTATGTTGTGTTATTATGCGATAGTGGTAGGAAGGGTAGGATAGACCCTGTTACTGGTTGAAAGAGACCGAAGGGGAGGCCAACACCCAGATATGCTAGATAGTATGTGCTATATATATATATATATATATATATATATATATATATATATATATATATATGCTAGAATATTATGTGGTAGTTATAAGGGTGAAATAGTCCCCGATTACCGGTTGAAAGAGACCGAAGGGGTAGGCCAGCACCCAAATATGCTAGACATTTACCGGTTGAAAGAGACCGAAAGGATAGGCCAACACCCAGATATGCTAGACAGTTACTGGTTGAAAGAGACCAAAAGGGTAGACCAGCACCGAGATATGCTAGGCAATATGTGTATTATATGGTATGTGATATGATGGGGGAACTCACTAAGCTTTATGCTTACGTTTTTCAGTTTTAGTTTCATGTACTTCTTCTTCGAAGGAAAAGGAGACGGCTTGACTGTTGCGCATCACACTTGATTTTTCTGCGCTATGCATTCTTGGGATTTTGTACTCTGATATTTTTTTATCATGACATGTTTTGATTATGGATACATTGGTTTTGATATGAGTAACAATGTGATGTTGTCAGACAAATGTTTTATAATTATTAAATTAAAAATGTTGGTCGTAAATTTTGGGATATTACATGAAATGTTTTAACATAGAAGATTTAATAAATAGAAATATTATAACAAGAAATTGAACAAATATTAAATCCTTGTACATGTAAAAATGAGTCGAGTCTATATGCTTCAAATATAGGATCAATCATATATGCAATACTATTCACTTATTTTAAATTTTCAAATGCCTTGATCATTATGAGAAAAGGATTAGAATTTCATGTGAATAAAGTTGTTAAACAACTGTCAAGAACATTTTGAGGCTTTAATGAAGATTGGTTGCTTTTAGACAGTTGGAAGTATGATATCATTTGGGACAAACCATACTGATACACTTTGGATTGAAATGATTCTTGGTCAAAATTAATGGTCATATGAGAATATGGAAATGTTTCCATAATGGGAGATGATTATAAAATCTACATGTGAGTTGGAAACTTTAATGAAAGAGTAGTGTCCAAGGAGTGTACCTTAAATTTGAAACTTCATAACCATAGAATTGTTATGAGTAGAAATTTTCAGTAGAACATTCTGTAATATCGAAGGATCAATCTCTCTAACTTTAGAACCTCGACATCATAGAATGTCAATGCATGTAAAGATGAAATTCCACTACATCTATGATAACAATAAGAATTAGGAATTATTAAATGAGTGACATTGGAGTAATTTCCAGTCGATATGTTCATAGAGGAAGGATTATATAGAGGCATGGTATGCATGTTTATAACATGACACGAGTGATATTTTTTAACTTAAGTGATTAGTTGATTACACGAAACAATCTACAATGAATAAATTAGTAATTTTTATGGATATTAGTTAATAGGAATTTATTTATATTCAAATTGTTGATACATGAAGTGACCCTCTTAATTTTTGCCTACCGAAGTCTACATGCTACCGCGGTCAAGCTCCTTCATTAATCACATCCGAAGTCATCTACATGCTACCGCAGTTACTCTTTATGTACTTAGTTTACTTTTCTGCAATACTCACTATTGTCCAGTATGCATTGCATGGCTACTCTTAGAGAGTGAATCATTTGTATTTCTCGAGTCTCTATAAATAGAGCTCGCTCCTTATCAATCAATACATATCTATTTTACTCATCTCTAAATTTGAAACTATTCTTATGCATCTCCTATCTTTCTTACTAAAAATCCTCTCGAACACAACTAAGTAATACTTCTCTTCGGAGCAAGTCATTCGTGACTTTATCACTAAGATTGATCTCTCTTACTAACTTGGTTTGAATGCATTACATGTTATAAATCAACTTATGTGTTTACTTGATATATCACCTGCTGTTATTTGTCATTTATGTTTCTTTACTTTTCCGCAATTAACTATCTAACCATCTAACATATTAACTTATTATTGTTGAGCTTTTAGATCCTTTAAAATTAACTAATTCCACAACTATACTTGTTATAACGTTTGTTCAAGTGTGCCTCAAGTTTTTCTCTCAACAATTTGTATCAGAGCCATAGTGGTTCCTCTTTTTGAAAATCGGAACTCTGATTTTTCAAAAGGCCTTCTATACCACTGAAGCTCTCTTTTTCTTAAAAAAAAAGGCACAAGCACTTTCTCTGAATGTTTCCAACAGTGTTGGTGGCTCAAACCAAGCTCCAATATTGGTTGCCAATGAATATCATCATTGGTCTCAAAGAATGGAAAGATACTTAAGGAGACTTGGTAGAGATGTATGGCGGTCTGTTGAAGAAGGACCACATGTCCCTGTTCTTACACCTGTTCAAACTGATGGTGCTACAGCCAGACTATGAGGAGGACAACCAGTCCTGAGCTGTCCCACCAAGGATGATCTCGATAAAATGGAAAATGATGTTGTTGCCTTTTATGAAATCTCTTGTGGATTTGCTCCTGACAACTTCGACATTATCATAAATTGTAAATCAACAAAAGAGATCTGGGACGTTCTCAAGAACTTGTATGAAGGTTCAAAACAAGCTCATGATAAGAAGCTCACAACCGCACTCAATGAATTCAACAACTTCAAGGCTCATGTTGGTGAAAGTTTAGAGGACTCCTTCAAAATATTCAATATGATAGTTACTAAGTTATCAAATGTTGGCACCATCCGCAATAACCATGAAACAAACCTTCAATTTCTCAACGGGTAGGAAGAAATTAGACTACTGCCAAAATTATAGTTCAAGGAGACAGAAATATTCATTACATGTCTCTCTACAAGCTATATGGGGAATTGCAAGCACAAGAATCCACCGTACTAAAAGATTATGCTGACCTCGGAAGACCACTCGCTCTTGTAGCACAAGCTCCTCATAACCAGCCTTACTCTCCCTCGTATGACACCACATCGTAGTCATATGAAGCTGACTCAGAGTATGATGATGAAGAAGAATTTCAGAAGGCTATTGCTCTAGTTAGTAAACAGTTCAACCGACTACCACCTCACTCTTTTCGTAAAAATCAACAATTCAACAAACCACCTTTCAATCGTAGCTTCAATCCACAAAACAATCACTCTCATTATCCAAAAAATTCACACTCACAACCGCAATCTCAAAACACTCAACCAAAAGAGGCATTATAGTCTATCCAAACCACTGACTCTGGTACCCCCTCAGAAGACAACAGTGATGTTGTTATATGTCACAAGTGCAACAAAGAAAATC